GAGAGAGAGAGAGAGAGAGAGAGAGAGAGAGAGAGAGAGAGGAGAGAGAGAGAGCATTTTCCTTGAGATAAAGCCTTCTATCCTACTGTTTCATTTTGAATAATAAGCATGGATCCTATTCACTTTACAGATGCTACTGGTAACACAAGAAGATCTTTAGTCACTGGCTGTTCTTTAGCAAGAGTTTCCTTTCTTGAAGAAGAATGCCATTTGACAATGAACATTCACTCCCGGTATTGATTGTCATCAGACCCAGCACTCACTTCATCTTCTCGTGGGGCATTTATTTTCACATGGTACTGTAGATCAACATCCCTTTGCTCTTGGTCAGGATGCGGGTCCCAGCGTAAACGAACTTGAGCTAATCCGGTGGCTTTAATGGTAAAATTGACTGGGGGTAGAAGTAAAACTAAGGGTTCAAAAAACAAAACAAAACAAAACAAAATGATACAATGTTCAATAAAGAGCACTTTTTGTATCTGGTGCTGGGAGTGAAACTCAGGGCCAGTGAATATGGGAGAGGTAGTTTAACACTGAGCTATATCTCCAGTCCTTAAAATATTTTAATTGTTTTATTAAGTAACATACTAGTTTGTTGCAGCTTATTAGAATATATGACACAGAAGTAATTTGGCAAAAGTTTCTTTAAAATTATTGCTAGTTACAGTGATTACCGGTAACTTTCATGTGGTTATGTTGACTGCTACTCATTAAAGCTGTAGTTTTTACAATGACATCATAACCAGTGAATGGGGTGTGATAACAATTTCTGGAGTTCAAATCCCCTTTCTTTGATTTTCAGAGCAGTATAGAAGATAAATAGAGCACATCAGAGGCTGGGGGGGGGCATATATCAGACCTGAAACAGTTGTCTCATGGACATCTAGTTTCCATTGCATAGAAGTACCTACTTACTTGTAAGATCAATGATTCACAATGTAAAATGTATTTATTTCTCATTATGAGCCATAGCCTAAAGTATCTGAGTAGAAAAAAAGGATTTCCTTTGAAAGTGAACTATTTCACTTAATGAAGGACTCAGTACTCATTGTAGAAATGCTGTAAAACACAATGAACAATAAGAAGAAAGTAAAAAAAAAATTCAATTCACGTCTTATTTTGTTATGTTTTTCTGGGCATATGTTTAGACAACTTCTTAAAAATTTTCACCCAAACAAGGGCAGCACTACACAGTGTGAAACACATAATCTTGAATTTATTCATTGACTAAATTGTCAGTGTTTTCCGTTGACCTTTAAAAGTCCTTCATGACTCTGCACCTGCGTTTGACATGCAAGGGTTTCCAGGACTGTCTATGTAGTTCACCTCTATTCCAATAGCCACTGGATACTGTGGCTTTTCAAATGTAAATTAGGTAGCTAAACCCCAAAGGTCATTGTTCTAGCTGCACTCTGTACTCTTCAGCTGCTTAGTGGTTATGTGGATGGTGGCTATGTGCTGGGAGGAACCAAAATAGAATACAATCTTTATAGAGAGTTCTGGACAGAACTGGGCTGGTGCCATCCCAGTTTTCCTCTCTTAACTTAACTTCCATCATCATACCAAACTCTTAGATAAACAAGTTTCAGGCAGGGCGGGTAGAGGGGGGAATGGTACAAGTTTTTTCTTGCTTCTTGGAGGCCTTTCTTGAAATTCTCAGTGGAGGTGGGGGTCCTAAATGTCGTCTCCAGAGGCAGCTTTCTTCCATGATGCCCATATATACCCTTAGAATTGAATTTCTCACTCAAGCATAGAATTTACATTTCTGCCACACTGCTTTCTTAACTCTCCAGAGTTTATACTGTTTTATTAAATGTCTCAATTGAATGCTTATTTCAGAGAAAAACCCATTATATTTTGTAATATACTTTAACAAAAACAAACATTATTAGATAGAAGATCCTTACCCTTTCTGTCAGACAGTAAGTCAGCTTGCAGTGTTGCCCAAGCCCCCACAAGAATTAGTAATGCAGGCAGCATGATGGTCAAGTCCTATGGGAAACATGGAAGACAAATTCCAGATCATCACATTGTCATTTCTAAGGAAAGCTGGCAGCTACTTGCAACGTAAGTTCAGGTCACTTAGCAACTGCTTATGATCTCTCTTGCATTCTAGGAGGGCAAACATAAGGGGCTTTGCTCTTGGGTTGTAGAATCATGATCTGCTGGGACAGAATAACATGTCAATCAATAATTAATGGGAAATAAATAATTGAGACATTGCCCACAGTGTGATGTGTCTGGGGCACAATAAGTGCAAAGAGACGTCTGATTTGAGTCACGAAAGGTGAATTAAAGTTCACAATACACACAAGGAGAGATTCCACTAGAATTGCACTGAGCAAATGTGTCGAGCTAGAAGAAAATGAAGAAAGGGGGGTAGGGGAGGAGGGGAGGGAGAGGGACCTGGAATTGACATGTAAAATAATTTTCTTTCTAATAAAAGAAAGGGGGAAGAAAAAAAGAAAAGGAAGAAAATGGGAGAGGATTGGTATTCAGGACATTAGAGTAGGTCTCAGTGTGGGAAAAGTTCTAAGCAATTAATAATAAACATAAATACTACCAGCTTCATTCATGTGTTTTTAAATTGGGGGCTTAGTGGTAGTGTTACCTAGGAAGTCCTAGGTTCAATCCCCACCACCCTTTCTCTTCAAGCCAAAATGACAAGAAACTTACACTGATAATAATTTGTAATGTGAGAAACATGAACTTCCTTTTAAATTCCAGGATAAATCTGTGGTACTTTGAGTTTGGGGGAAGATGATTTATTGTCTTAAGGACACAAATGAGAACAGGACAGGGGGACAACGACAAAGAACATGGTCACACACTTGGGAAAAGTGTATTTCTCCCTTCAGAAAACAACTTGGCAATGGGATGGATGGAGAATAGAATGTTAGGCTAAGTGAATGAGGAGAAGCAGTCTGTCTCAGCTATTGAGTTCAAAGGGGGAATCAACAGCTCCTGGTGGGACCTGTAGATTAGAGATCTGAAGATTTTCCAGAGATCTTCTGGAGCTCAACTTTAAGGATGAAAAGTGTGTGTGGCTTCCATGTGGGCTGTGCCCCCTCACTTAAAAAATTAAGACATTTATTTATTCATCGTGTGCTTGTGTTTGTGTGTGTGTGTGAGAGAGACAGAGAGAGACAGAGAGAGAGAGAGAGAGAGAGAGAGAGAGAACTTGGACCATACCTCAATCTTCACACAACAAAACATATGCTCTTGCAGCTTTAGGAATTCAAATAACTTTACAGGGCTAGGATGTAGCTTAGTGGGATAACCTTTCTTTGAATATGGAAGGCTTTGTTAGACAGCACTTTCCCAATAAATATTTTTTAAATGAATCAATAGGAGAAGTTTTTACTTAAAATTATTTAAATGGCTAGACCTTTTCAAAGTCTAATTCCAGTGCAGGCAAGGGAGAGAGCTTCATTAAATAGATAAATCCTAAAAATTAGTAGCAGATACTTTTGCTTCATTATTTAAACACATCTTACAACATCTTACTTAACATATTGCTATTACTGCTCAAGTTGGAGTAATAACAAAACAGCCATAAAGGGGCAGCATATAGAAGTCATTTAGTTCTTCCCTTCCTTCCTTCCTTCCTTCCCTTCCTTCCTTCCTTCCTTTCCCTCTTTTTCTTTCTTTCTTCCTTTCTTTCTGTCATCTTTTTTCAAATAAACATGAGAGTTATGCAAGTTTTCACCAAAATAATCCTGTTTCCATTTCTGTGACACTTCTACCCCATATAAATGAATTTTTATACTGATCATGGTCATGACAATGAAAGTAGGCACTGTAATAGTCTTCTAAATTTTCAAAACGTCAGGCTTTTCATGAGCAAAATGGAAGCATTTCTAATGCACTAAGCCTAAGAAGCTCAGCTATAATATCCTTAGTAACAGCAAAGAGAGTGGCTGCTTGAAGTTATGAAAGCTACATCTTCAGATGTCAGCATTTCCTGACATGATGTTTAATATGCCCTACCTTCACTGATTTTCATTAACAGGAGTTCTAGGTCAGGAAATAAAAACCCTCAAAATTAATACCCTGTAGTGACTTTTACTGACTGGTAGAACAGGAAGTATCTTAATACAGTGCTTGTAAAAATAACAAACATCTGTTTATCCTTTGCAATTAAATTGTTGAAGTAAATAATGACTCTGTTGAATATCTCAGTGGGGAGGTAATTGAATATTTTATATCAGTAAGCACTCTCCTCTAGAATGTACCTTGTATTCTGATTTTATAGCTGCTAAAAGTAGAATTCTCTTTCAAGTTTGATCACTCAAACTTTTTTTTTTTTTAACTATGTTTTGGCCATTAATGGCAATGTGTTTTTTTGTATCTCCTGAGATTTCTATGCCATAAGCAACAGTCTTTGAGGAAAAAAAAATCAGTTGTCCTAGTGCTCAGATAGGCCACAGATATCTCAAAGCTGAGACGATAAATTCCAGCAAAGGCTGGATATTACTGGAGCTTCAACATCTGTGTTTCCTGGGATTAGTGACTCAGTTTCCCCAAACACCTCTAGGTTGGACTCCATGTGGCTGCTTAAAGCATATGAGCCCTTGGTTGGAGCTGTCATCTTTAGTTAGGGATTAAAAAGATTCAAGCTCTTTGCTTCATACATTCAAAGTTACACTATTATCAACTGAGCTTTAAGTCATCGTATTAAAATACAGTCAATACAGTCACTTTATTTATTTGTATGATCTCAAGATGACAATACGCCTAACTCATTTTTCTCTTGGATATCAACTAAAATGCAACTCAAAGCCATTGCATCGTTAAATTAAGAAGGATAAAATAAATCAAGATTGCCTGCCTACAATTAGAAATACATGCTCTATCTTTGAGGGTGATCAGAAGAAATTTGTTCATGTGACATTTCTGTGAATAAACTTAAAATTCTGGAGAGCCCTCCTTGAAATTTAAAAGAAAGCGGGCATACAGTCTCTCTTATGACAGACGTTTCTAGAAATTAGGTTGAGTCTGACTTTAGCCATTGATGATGGACTTCCCCAGTGTTCCGGTGAATCAGTCAAATTCTGCTGAAGTTCAGAAATAAAATTTTCCCTTTCCAATTAATTTTTCTGCCCAGAGGATTCATTTTACAACCAAAATTATGTTGGTAGCCCTATTTTTAGAGCCTTTTGTGAGTGATTTGTGCTCACATCTAATTCCAAGTACAACCTGAGTGGCAGAAATTGAAGAGCCACTGGGTGGATTCATGCTCTTTTATATTATTGCAAGGAAAGAATTTCTTTTCCTTTTTTAACCCTGTACAGCCATAAAACCCAGTCCAATTGGGGGGAAGACTTCATAAAGCAAAGGCTATGCTTAGCTAGGGACACTGTGTTACCCCCACAGTGAAAAACTGGACACGCTCATAAAAATATAAATGAGCAACAGGATGACACTTTTTCCCCGACACTTATTTTCTAAAATAGTCCTAAAATATCACCCTCAGGTTCAAGTTGTGGCCACAAACAGAAAACATTCCATAAATCCAGATGCAAATAGCTGCCACCCTAATACTCTGTATAGAGAAGGTGTTCAGTGCCAGCATTTCAATACTTAATTAAATACATCCTTCCCATCTCATTTGGCACTAAGCATTATTCACATAGATGCTTCCTCATTGGTGGACGTACCTGTCTGTGGACGATCCCTTCTGTTCCACAGGTTCTCAGCATTAGAGGCTGAGGACCACAGCTGCCTGGTGTGTCTGATTTCCCATCAGAACCCCAGCAACTAGCACTCTATCAAGTGCAGCACACATGCCTATTAGATTTGGTCCTGTAAAGAATAGGGACAAGTCAGTACCCAGCCCTGATGAGTGAAGGCGGGTCTGTTCAACATGAACAAACAGACAGCTTAGATCAGCTGTGGGGAACACCTAGCAGGCCTGGCTCCTGAAAAATTTCCCCACATTGCATTTTAAGTAATGTTAAACAAATGAGACAGTTTGATTTCCAAAACGTTATTATATTTCAAAATGTAAACTTCTAATAACAACTACATAGATTTATCTCCAGACAACTACAGAAGAGAACATATAAACAATAAACAGAAATAATAGGTAATGAAATGCTAATTATAATTCATTGAATTTTGATTTTTTCCTGCCTTTCCCTCTCTTTTTCTGTTTCTCTTTTTTTAAAAAGAAATTTTTTTGGTTCCTTTCCATCCATTCTTTACATGTATATGAAATATATATCTTCCTGGCTTTAGGTAACTAGTTAAATTAGTGAGTATAAAAACAAAGGAGACATTTCATAAGCCTTTTGTACACTTTAGGTAAAATGAAAAAGGCATGGATACCAAAGAAATTTCAGCAGAAACCAAAAGCAAAAACACCTTGAGTTATACTATGACATCATTTCCTTATTGTTGTTTGTCTCTGAATTTGTAACTTTAGAAATTAACTCTGAGACTCCTTCATGACAATCTCTAACTAGACTCTATAACCTAGTTTTGAAACTCATATTTTTGAAGAGGTCTTATCACTAGATATATACTCCTTTTAATCTTCTCAGGTGTCTACAAAAGCAGAAAACAAATGTCTTCTATTTCCAGGGGCATTGACAAAACATCATATGCTACTTTAACAAGACTCACCTTGGTATGAATGAGAGCATCAGACTCAGAATGACCACCAAAAATAGAAGCACATAGCCGGGACCTGTCCAGTGAACTTCTTTAAGTTGGGTATCCCCAGTGTTTGCTCTGTCCCTGCTGATAACAGGGCTGTGAAGCGTTCTGTTTCCTCTTTTCTCTATTGAAGCATTGGCTATATGCTTACCAATTATTATTTCTCCTTTCCTGCCCCTCCTTTCTTTGGGGGTCCTGGGTGTGTCTCCAGTCTAGCCATAGAAAACGATATTTGTGTGCCCTGCCAGCCCTGCAGTGAGTCAAGCGTTCAATTCCCACTTGCCGAGAGAAGTGAAGGTGGCTGCAAGATGTTAAGACAG